GACTACCTGTGTGAGCGCCTGAAGATTCACCGATGCTACTTTTTTCTAATCGTTTTTTGGGAGCTTGCTGCTGCTTGTTAAACGGCCCTTATTACGCGATTTTCTGATCTATGCTATAATGCTGTTTCCTCTTCACAAACGTACTTGGAGTTTGAGTTTAAAACACAAACCTTGCGTATTTAGATTGAGGTCTTCTCTCCAACAGAAAACACTTGTGATGTCACGCGGTAATACAGGAAGTGCTCTGTGTTTTTAAACTCCATACAACTTCACTAGAATCATTTGAATGATTTCAGACCTGGAACTGCCAATCGCTACTGAACTAAAGGATATTAATTGCTAACACATAACATATTCAGACCACTGTGTTATCTGTAATAGAATTTAAGAAATTTATCCTCCACGTACATCTTCTTCATAGTCTCAACACAACTGCTTTATAAACCTCCTCCTTTAGAAGCAGAGTCAAAGGGGCTTGAACACTCAAAGATCACACTATGTTCACTTTTGAAATCATATTATGTTGGCTTTTCAAGTTCCCCCTGGGCCCGTATTATTGATGGTAAATACAATTTCAGTCCAATGAGGTTGTCCAGTGTTTGGTCTTCTGATATTTTATGTTATTCGGTTCTTTTTTTGGACCAATAGTTTGTTTTCATACCTGACCGTTTCGACTGCTCACTAGAACAGCAACATCATGTGGCTACTCTGAGGAAGATCACTAGTGAGCAGTCGAAACGGTCAGGTATGAAAACAAATTATTAAAAAGAACCTAATAACATAAAATATCAGAAGACCAAACACTGGACAACCTCACTGGACTGAAGTTTATTTACCATCAATAATACAGGCCCAGGGGGAACTTCTATTGGTCTAAAAAAAAGAACCTAATAACATAAATAAACTTCTCCTGCTTAAGACATCCAGTTGGTCTCCAGCCTTTTACTTCCACCCTTTCTTGGACAAGCTGAAAACTTCTACAACATTACCTTTTATTGTTTTGAAAACGCGACATTCGTCAAAAACAACTCATTAACATATTCAAGAAGTCCACTCTGAGTCACTCCTCCTCTTGCTCCCTGTGCTAAGTCACTCCCCCTTCAGAGCACTAACACAACACATTCGTCATGCATTTTGCGAGTGCGCATCGCGTCAGGTTTGTGAAGTTGTAGTGCATTGTTTCGTATCCTGCTTTTGTATATTTATGGAAAATCGTTGTGCATGGGTGACGTAGGCTTGTGGGCTGAGCAGGAGCAGGCCTGAGAGAGATCGCTAGATTACTCAAACTTGCATGGATGAGGCATAAAATCACTTCAGGCCCGTTTTTGATGAAGGAAGGTTATAACATTATAGAAAACTCCAAAATGTCCCTCTTTAAAGGTGCATTTTGTAACTTTTCTGGTGGAGGTTCCATCAAATGCTTTTCTCTTCAATCTTTAATCTTTAAGGCCAGGTTACAGGTCAGATCTGTGGAGAGATGACTCTGCTCACAGTCAGAATGCCTGTTTTTCTAGGTATAAATACTAATAAATGGAAGGTAGAGCTGTTTAATGTCATACTGTGGAACATTCCAGGCAGAGCAATGACATATCCACAGAAACAAGCAGGTGAAGGACCCCCACCCAAAAAGTTGCACAGTGCACCTCTAAGGAAAACCAATTTATGTTTCCTAATTACATTATTAAAGTGTTTTTGTATTTCATCTGCCACCATCTTTCCTGATGCAAAAAAATGACCCATTGCATTCTTTGCGTCAGATAAACCACAGCAGCCACATCTGTAATTTTCTCAACACAATTTCATTTCTGAGTCCTATGTCCTGTACACTATGTGCCGTCCATAGTAATGAGTTTTTAGAGTGAGGGGACTTGAAGCTTGTCAGAGGTAATCACATTCACGTTGTGTATTTCTCAGAGCCTTATTTGAACAAGGTCTTGTGTTGTATCAGTAATGGCAACGTACAGTGAGAATAATACAGGCTTGTTTTTCAGAAGGCTGGCTGCTCTCACTGAATGCTCCGATTGCCTCATATACCTCTTGTTATGTAGATTTCGTATGATTACAGTTTTGCATATGAAACAAGCGCGTGTAATTAAATGAATCGTGTTGATTGAAAGGCGAACTGTATTGTTGCTTATTTCTGATCTACGTTTCAATGTTGTTCCCTCATCACAAACATACCTGGAGCTGCGTTTTGTTTCATTCACACATGTTTAACACACAAATCTGAATGTAGATTTCGGGTAAGTTCTTCTCTCAAATGGAAAACACTTTATAACCAGCTTGTGATCATCGTCATGTGGTAATACTGTGTTTTTAAGATAAGATTAGAAGCAATCAATGGTCAATAAGATCTGCCGATATTTTTGAGACAATATATAGGGATGATTTTGATCATTTTCCACAAATTTGGTTATTTAAATTTAGTACAAACTCACCGACAACTCTTTTTTAAACATTTATTTATTATTATTATTTTTTTAAACCACAAACTAAGGCTGTGCAATTAATCCAATTTTGATCACAATTTCAATTTGTGTGTCAAACGATCTCCAGACTCGTATAATCAAGTTGAAACAATTTGATATTTTTTATATAAAAAGTATATATGTGTGTATTTTAAAATATAGAGATTATAAAACAGCTGGATACATAGTTTATTTTAGATACTTCATTCATAAAAAACATAAATGTATGTGTCATTCATTTTATGTTTTATACATAGCTCAAAACTGCTCTAATGTACATATTTGTAGCCTGTATTTATTTTTAGTTTGAAAGTTTTGCGTAAATTATCAATAAGTGTGTTTTGTTTTGTTTTTGAGAGAGAAAAATGCATGAGAAATAATCATTTGAATCATCGTGGTTTCAATATTGACCAAAATAATCGTGATAATTTTTTTTTTTTTTCATCATGTAATCAAGCAACCTTACCACATACCTTAAAGAGCGCTGTGTATCACATTTAGTGCAGTTATTCTTCGTATCGAAGTGTTAAAATAAAGCTTTGTGTGTATTTTTAGGCTGCAGTTTGACCAAAATAAAATACCGGCATGAGTTGGAGATTTAAGGCCAAAAAATTCCAAATAACGGCCCTATCTTCACTGTGTTTTTAAGATTCACTAGAATAATTTTGTTAGTTTCAGATCTGGAATGCCAATCTTTACTGAACTAAAGGTAAAAGTAACTTGAAAACTGCCACTCTATGACATCACAAGGTGGAACTGAGCATTTTGAGATTTGGAGATGTACACAGACTAATAATAAATGATTACTCAAACACATGTGAATGAAACAAAACACAACTCTGGGTATGTTTTTGATGATTAAACAACATTATAACATGGCTTAAACTTCACAAGAATCAATTTTTGTGCAGTATAGGACCTTTAAGTAATTGTGTACGCTTGTTATCGCATTAGCTGATCTTATTTCTGAACGATATCTGTGTACTATTTTGTCTCAGATGAATACAACCAACAGTACAACTTGTGCTTGTTTTTTTCTGTAAATTGATTTAAAGTTTACGTGCACAGAGCAGGTGCTGTAGGACCGATTCATTTAATGGTGTTTACAAGCTAACAAAAGTCAAACGCAACTAGAGCATTGCCGGAATCCATCTGTTTGGGTTTATGTTTGTATTTTCTGAATTTATTTAGATAAAATAAACTAAGTTCCCTTTAGATGCTGCCAAGCTAATTGTGTGTGCTATGCGTGCGTCGCTGCAGGCACAGATACCGCGATTGGAGAGAAGAAGAAGAGGAGTTCTTGCTCTCTGTTTCCTATTTTAACACATCAAAGACACCTCACTCGTGCTCATGGAGTTGGGAGGTCAACAGGAGCTTTCCCCAAACTCTTTTTCTGGCACTGTCTTATCAGTTATCCCTCACGCTTTACAAATCTTTAAAGGTGAACTGCGCGACCTTCCTACCTACTTGTTTCCATTGAGATGTTATTGCTTTGCCTAGAACATTCCATGGTATGACATTAAACGTATCCATATAAACACTCTTTATCGATCCACAAGGGAAATTACTTGGACACAGCCGCTCACTTCACAGTATATTATAATACTTACGGGTGTTTCTATTGCTCAAAAACACAATAATTCCTTCTGTGAATAGCGGCGACTCTCCACTATGGGTGTGCAAAAATATTAAAATATCGATATATCTTATTGTTTAATGTGATGAAACAGTATCGATATCGTGGGCTGCTGTGTCGATATGTCACCAAGTATTTTTGGTATATTTTACTAAATTATTTGTTACAGTTTTGCTGCTCGTTCAGTGAAAAGAAACTAATTTATTCGACGCATTTGACATTTTCATTGTTTTGATGATTAAAATGTTTGTGTTTCATATGAACTTTGCACAAGAAGTGGTTTAACAAAGACTTTTAGTATCACAGCCATGATTTAGTAATTATTTTTTACTGAACCATATCAAATCGATTTGAAAAATATCATATCGAACCGAAAGTGCTCTGTATCGTGGCCTGTGTATCGAGGTATGTATCGTATCGGCAACTTCTTAATGACACCCTGCCCTACTCTCCACAGATCTGAACTGTAATTTAGTTTAACGCTGTAACCTGCTTGTCTCCCTCGTGACAGAAAGGTTTAATCTATACTGTGGAACTTTCTAGACAAAGCAATAACATTTCCAAAGAGACAAGCAAGTGCCGGACCTTTCACTAGAACTGTTACGCCGGGCACCTTTAATTCAGGGAGGCGATTGCTAGTTGAATGTCAATTGTATTAGGCGGCGAGCTTTTTGCATGTGTGTCTTTAATCAGTTTCAGATCAATACTCTATCTGTGCCAATGCCTTGAGGTATTGCCAGTTTAATTAGAGCTGGGCTGGACAGATGTTGGCGGTGGAGTTCCTCTGACTCTGTGTGTGTCTGTGTTGCTGTGTGTGTGTCTGTGTGTGTGTGTGTGTGTGTGTGTGTGTGTGTGTAGTCTGTGTCTGACCCTGTGTCTCTGTTGTTGTGCTGCAGATGATGAAGTTTGCCTGGGACAACTACAAGCGCTACGCCTGGGGAAAGAACGAGCTCCGACCTTTGACCAGGAACGGACATATTGGCAACATGTTTGGTGAGTAATTAACATTTAAAAGAAGCACCTTCCTTTTTTTTTTGTGTGGTTGGTCTGTCAGTAAACAGAAACATTATTTGAATATGGTAGAAGGATGTAGGGATGCACCAGTACAGGTTTTTCAGTCTGTTTTTAAGCATTTGCCTATAGCTGATATTATAGGATGGTCTTTTTTTTCTCTCAAAATACACTTAATCCATCCATCCATTTTCTTCTGCTTACGGTCCGATACAGCGACTGCATCACTGCCAATCCGCCTGTCAATCTTACCCTCCATCCTCCCCTCACTCGTGAACAAGACCCCGAGATACTTGAACTCCTCCACTTGAGGCATACACACAAATACACTTAACTTTTTACAAAATTGATCTGATTGTGTTATGTAACTGTTATGTATTCTGCAAGTAACTGAACAGATTTGTGTGAATAAAAGTCCAAATATCTTGAGATAGACTGAGGCTTAGACTTAGACAGACTTTTTTGATCCACAAGGGAAATTACTTGGACACAGTAGCTCAGACATCACAATATATTATAATAAAAGAGAAGAAAAATAAGGAGAAATGCTATAATTAATAAGTAGCAGACATAGCAAGAGACTGGTGCTGAATAAGGCATGATTATATAAATATAAAAGGTTGCTGGATTTGCTTAAAAAATATGGAAAGCTTTTGCATGCAATAAATTTATGTTTAGGCTTTGACACTTAGTTTGATCCCCTCTGCATGTATTTTTCTCAGAACATGAACATCACTTTTTGATGTTGATGAAATTTGATCAAATCATATTTATCTTATGTTACCTTATCATGAAAATTTGCCTTTTTTATTTTGTATGTGTGATTTAATTCTGTGTACACAATTCTTTTAACATGCAACATCAAATGTCCTTAAAGGGTTTTAATGTGAAAGAATCCAAAAACAGTCTTTGAGTTTTCCATAGTTCTGTATTGTCTTAAACAGAATCAAGCACCCAGAGAGCACAGGTACAATGACACTGAGACTAGACAAAATGTATTGATACACAAGGGAAATGATTTGGATACAGTCGCTCACAGCACATTATACTAACAAATAGAACTGCTATAATTAATAAGTAGCAGAAATAGCAAGAGGCTGGTGTCAAATAAGGCATAATTATATAAATGTATATGTACAAGTGCAAATAAAATGTAGAAATATACAGTATATCTCAGTTATATACAAGAGGTCGTAAGGAAATACAGTGCAAAAATGATCTGATGATTGACAAGACATAGGGTTATCTGTTACATAAGGGTGAGTTGTTGTACAGTTTTAGGGAATATGGTTTGAATGTAGTCCTGTATCTTTCACTGATCATCACATCAGTCACTAAGACTCCAACCAGGATATCGACTGAACCGATATCATGGAGCTGATACTCGATACTGCCATTTTTCCTGGATCAGCACCAATATCTGATACCAGAATGAGTATCTCTGCATCCCTAGAAGAAACCATACACATTTTTTAACATGATAGGTATAGCGAAATAGGACACAATCAGAATTTTAATGTTTAGTACCAATTCAGGATTTTCAAGTTAGAACATTATTACTTTTTTGTGGAAATGAAGTTAATAGCTATTTTTCTTCTACATCCAGTGAGCAGATTATTTCGGTGCCAGTGGCCTGAGGCGTGATGTCTTTTTGTCCATGGAGTGTCCATAATGGGAGTGCGTGACCAATCAAACTGATGCTTTTGTCTCCAGGGGCATCCAGCCTCCAGACGCTCACTGACATTTACTGGTTAATACTTTTGACAGAGACAGTGCTCTACACAGCCCAAAATAATCAAACAGGTGGTCGATAGTGTTAGGGAGTAAAGGCCTGTCACAATTATTACTATATTGATGGATTGTTCTGTAAATGTTAAATGGAACTACAATTTTGAGAGTCAGTATTTATTCTGTGTACTGTTCCTTGTACTAGTGGGGAACATATGTTTTATTTGTTCACAAAAAACTCAAACATTTTTCTTTCTTTTTTTTAATATACTTTATTTACAGGGCCACTATGTAACTTTTTGGTTGAGGGTTTGTCACGGATATGTCATTGGTCTGCCTGGAATGTTCCACAGTATGACATTAAACAGCTCTACCTTGCATTTATTAAATTACTGGTGGCTTTATAGCTCAAAAATACCTACAAAAACAGGAAATCTGACTGTTTGCGGGGTTGCCTCTCCACAGATCTGACCTGTAACTTGGTCTGGTTTGGTTTCCATGAAGATAGAAAGGTTTAACCCCCATACTGTGAAAGATGGTTTAATGCCTCACTGCAGTGTTTCCCAAACTTTTTTTTCTGGGGACCCATATTTTAAAAGCAGCAAATCTTCACGGCCCAAGTCAATAAACATTATTCATGAATCACAAAATAAAATGTGTGACCATTATTGAACATTAATGAGGATATTTTTTGTTCACTAAGTGATCGTGTCTCTCTAAACATTTAGTATTGCTCATGTTTTAAACATGAAAAACAGTAATTGGTGTTTTCCACAAAAACTGGTTAGACTTGGCAGTGCTGCCGAAAAAGTGAGGAGCAGGGAGAGGTGAGCAGAAATTCTGTGCACAGACAAAAAGTGAGAAGCGGGGAGGGGTGTGTGGAGATGTATGTATATATGTATATTGCAGACCTACATGCAGATCGTAACAAGGCGACCCAAAAAAATCTCTTCAGTCTTTGGGAAACAATGCTTTACTGGACAAAGCAATAACATCTCCATGAATAAAAGTATTTGACAGACCATCCACCCAAAAAGTTCCTGAATGCACCTTTAAAGATTGTCAGTTTTATACGTACATATATAAACAAAAACCCAGAGTCAGAAATGTTCAGGCAGCAAGTGGGGAACATTAGATAAGATTTTAGCTTTAGAGGGTTTAATAAATAAATACTATGATTATTATAGATACAAATGAACTACTAAAGTGGTTTATATAGATTTTCTATTTATTCCAGTTCATGTTACTTAAACATATTGTACATTTAGAATATGTTTTCATCAGCGCTTTGGGGCACTTTCATATTTCCTATTGATTTTATGTCCGTATTAGTTATTTGTGTGACTTGTATGTAAGGAAGCCAACTCCAGCTGCAAACCGATTCTACCTGTGAATATACGTTTAAATAAAGTTACCTTAACCTGAATATTTTTGGGGGATAATCTTGCTTTAGGGTTATTATTAAATGAATGAATAAATTATATCACACTTCAAAAATTGTTATGACAAACCTATTTGTGAGCTATTTTAAAGGTTGGCATTTTTTTGATAAATACCTGATAAGAAATTGTTTAGGATAATTAGTTTGTGTTTTACATTTTCCTTGATTGCCAACAGTATCACTCAATTCCTTTACCAGATATTCCAAACTAAGAAACAAAACCGTCCCTTTTGTTTAAATACCTGCCTACTGTGATTGTCCCATCAAGGAATACCCCCAACAGACTCGACTCGTAACATTTTCTTTAGGTTGAATTTAATTTGCATGAGATTTCTTGCCTGGGTGGAGCGGACTTACACCTGCCTGCTCCGACACTCTTTAATTGGAGACACGTCCCGATTGTCATGGAGCCCTCTGCAGTGGAGCATAGCAGTCACCTCTCCCACAGAGCCACAGGGAAATCCCACCAAATCTCTTTATAACACACACATCAGCTGCTAATAAGACCGGTCTCCTGCACCTCCGCCACATCTACAGGGAGGACGCATGATTAAAGTGGTGATGTAACCTGTTTTTATTCGCTTCCTCTGTTATTTAGACGCTATTTATTTGCTTTATTTAGCCCCTCCCACTTTTGTCTCGAAACGTTCCTAAGCCGCTCTTTCTTGTGGTTGCAACTACCCAGCTCTTATTAGCCACATCAGAAGTTAAGAAGGGCTGGGTGTTATTAAGATGTTGCCGATACGATACGGCTTTTGATACAGTGCACTTTCGATTCTGTACGATCAGTGGTGTAGTGGGGATTTTTTAAGTGGGGGTACGCGATTCGTGATGTCATCGATAACGTGCCCCCCATCCACCTCCAAAAGCCATACACTCAACTTTTTAAAAAATAAACAAACGAACTAACTTTCAGTACAAACATAAAGGTGCCAGCCCAGTAAAAATCAGTAATATTTGATGGTTTTTTTACTCATAATGATGCAGAATCATGTTATTAACATTAACATAAATCATAGGCTAAAACACATGTGCCCAGAACTGAACCTGGACTGAACTAGGACTGAACCAGGACTAACCCAGAATTGAACCAGGACTGAATCAGGACTGAACCAGGACTAAAACAGGACTAAAACAGGACTAAAACAGGACTGAAACAGGACTGAACCAGGACTGAAAAAGGACTGAACCAGGACTAAACCAGGACTGAAACAGGATTAAAACAGGACTGAAACAGGACTAATCTTGGACCTGAGAGAGAGAGAGAACCTCGAGCCCATGGAGCAGGGTGTCCACAAAGCACGATCGGGCGACGGCTGTGCTTAGCCCGTGGGGGCGGAGCTCTGTGCCCCGTTCTTTCGCCTGTGGTCACCCGACAGTCTAAGCAGGCGCACCTCCAGGCCCATCCCGACACTCCTGGTTCAGTCCTGGTCCCCTCAGGTCACTATAGGACAGGCAGGTTGTTTACACCATTGCCAATAGCTTTGGTTTGACATTTAAATTTTAGGCTATTTTATATAATTTTTTTATATCTCACATTGGCAGACTTGGGTGAATGTCTCATTTTACTCATCAGATTTTTCACAAAATAATTTAGTAAAAATTGACACAAAAATATATGGAAACATCTAGATACTGTATCATCAAATTAAACAATACGATATATCAGTATTTCAGTATTTGGTAACACTTAATTTTAGGCTTCACTTATTAACATCTACATACCTGTTTTGCATTAAGTGGTTAATTTGGTGTTAATATTTCTTGAAGGTGCATTATGTAACTTTTTGTTTGGGGTCTTCACCTTCTTGTT